ATATATATGTAGAGCATTTATTCACGGTAAATTTTAGTTATCTATTAGATATGATTTGTAAAATTTTAACTTGAAATTTTTAGGTAATAAATAATAAAAAAAAATAAATTCATTTATAGGAAATAACCCCCTAGGATTATTGACCTAAAAGTTTATGAAATTTCTTGTTGAACAGGCGTTAATTGCACCTGAAAATCTGATATTTTCGAATTTCATTGAAATTCCTGCATTCTAAAAATAGACAATTTTTTCATTTGTTCAATAAAACATAATTATCAGTAGATAATAAAATTTCAAGTAACATTTTTGAGCATTTTTAGTGTTATTTAGTATAGTATACATAATATAATTCAAACGAAAAATGTTCATTTATAAATAATTGTATTGTCGTATCACCTTTGTCATTGGGAATTGTTCCAAAAACAATAAATCAAAATGACCTCTGATCGAAATAGTTGATAATGAACTTGATTTTTTAAAACAGTCTGACCTAACGGGCAATTAGAAAATGCAAATGTTTCGCATTGCTGTAGAAACACAAATATGTTGTGATATATTATTAATTTATTATTTTTTTAATAGGCACAAAAATTGAAAATGAATCAACATGGGTTACATATGTAATTCGAATAGTACACATTACGCACCAAGGGAAGAAAGTATTGTATTCCACTCTGGATGTGAATTACCACCTTGCTGTCGTAATGTGCTATTAGAAACTTCGTTCCAAAAATATTTAAAAACAAAAAAAAAACTTGAATTCTAGAAAAGTTTCGCCTGGTACAGAAACCTTCATGCCAAGATTTAATTATTAGTTCATTTGTCCTTAGAAATTACTTTTTAGTGGATGTTGAGTAACTTTTCAGTTAAAATTTACGTAATAGAGAGATAATGAGTGAAAGGGTATTTTTTGTAATAATCCAAAAGTATCTATCTAAAACGTAAATGAACATTATAGATATTTAAGTGATATTTTGACGTAATAACTTAGTGTGTTATTAACACAGTAGAAATTTGCAAATCAAACTGATCAAACAGATGGAAGTGGGCAACCCTTCATATAACCAATCGTAAATTTAAATTCGAAGTTAAAGAATACTTATGTGGGCTACATGTTTTTTTTTTAAGTTGCTTAATACTTAATAATTTTAATCGTAATCAATTTGTACTCACAATAAGTAAAAGTACACTGGTGAATTTTACTTTCCTGATAATAAATTATTATCTTTGCAATTATACATACTATAAATAAAATTGAAGTACCTGTCTGTAATATCGAAGTAACTTTTAAACTCATGTCGTTATTTATAAGATATCAAGACGCAAACGACCTATAAAAATTTTGCCTGCCTACCTGTCTGTCTGTCTGTCTGTTTGTCTGTCTGTACGGACTATGAAGAAAAGGCGGTTGTCAGTAGTAACCTAGGGTGTAGGGTATGTTTTTGTTTGGTTGATCGTCGAAACAGCTAAACCGATTTTGATGGGAGTATACGCTAGTAATAAATAAAATAGTACTATGAAATGAAGAACCTAGAAACGTATTTCGAAGCGTATTTCTTTATCGCATAAAATGATTGCTATACAAATAGTAAAAAACCAACAATATAAATCACGTTTATGTATTTTTACTTCTGTTATTAATTATTATTGTAATGTATATCTCTAAAACGTTCATTGTCTTGTATGTATGCCCATGACCTTACGGTCATTGTCATATGCAACATGCAATAAGATAGACTTATAATCCATAGCATATACCAGGTATGGCCAATAAGTCGATCGCGATTGTTGGTCCGGCAGGAGACAGGAGACGATTTTTCTCAATGAACAAGATGATGTTCATATTTAAATCGTAGAACTTGCGCGAGCGATTTATCGTTAGAAAATATGTTAATAAGTCGTTCTTGTTTCGAATTTACAGATACTTATGTGAATTGGCCTTTTTATATTGAAAATTAACATTATTGTTCTCCATCAACTGATTTCCACGCTGACTGTTCTTTATATAAAAAAAATTTAAATTGACTTGAACTACTGTATAGAGCCAAATTTTGTGCGTCCGAACTTAAAAATTGGTTAAAAAGGAGTTGAATTTATAAATCATTTCCTACGATTTCGAAAAACGCATCTTTGTTAAAATACATGTCACATTACGACACCCTGCCGCGCATTTATATTCATCATCATCATAAGGTCGTCAGTCCCAAGACTAGTTGGACACGCACCTCCACTCTTTTCTGTCCTGAGCTAAACTTCGCATTTCCCTAAAACTAGAACATCCCACATCCTTAACTATTTGCGAACAGTAATCTAATCTAGCTCTACATCTACCCCTCCTAACTTCCGTTTCTGTCTCTAATATGTCTCTGACCAGACCTTTATGTCTGAGATGGTGTCCTACCAACTCATCTCGCCTATTTTTTATTGACTTCCATACAGTTCTCTGTTTTCCTATTCTTTCTAATCTCTTCATTTTAACCTTCTTTATCCACGGTATCCTCATCATTCGCCTGTAACACCTCATTTCTCTGTTTTCCTGTTGTTTCTAATCTCTTCATTTTAACCTTCTTTATCCACGGTATCCTCATCATTCGCCTGTAACACCTCATTTCTCTGTTTTCCTGTTGTTTCTAATCTCTTCATTTTAACCTTCTTTATCCACGGTATCCTCATCATTCGCCTGTAACACCTCATTTCTCTGTTTTCCTGTTGTTTCTAATCTCTTCATTTTAACCTTCTTTATCCACGGTATCCTCATCATTCGCCTGTAACACCTCATTTCGAACGCTAACCTTTTCTTTTGCGCCGCGCCCACCGTCCATGTTTAGCACCCGTACAGCTCCGCGCTCCATACATACACCTTTAACAATCTTTTTCGAATTTTTAAATTAACCGCGCTATCCTCTGCTTTATAACCCAACTACTCCTTATTATACACATTAATATTGGCTTAAGCCCAGCGGCGGATCTTGGACATTCGTAGCCCCTTGCGTAACTTTTTTTTGGGGTCCCTATACATAAAAAGTTAATTCCTAAATAATTGTACAATTTTACATGAAGAAAACATTGGTTGTAACACTTAAAACTGAAAAAAGACCTTTTCTCAGTCATTCGCAATAAAAATTGCAGGCTACAGCAAGTTGAATACCCTGAATATACAAACTTCGACATAAAGCTTGAGGGGGAGGTTAACACACCCCCCACAACTCTGTCACTGCGCCTTTGGCGAATTTCAGTTACAACAGTTGACTGGTAAAAATTCTGGAATTATTCACGTCGAGGATTTTTTTTTTTTAATTATTAAAAGAAATATCAAATGATTTCTGTAGCCTATTTATCTAAGAATGATTGGCACGCACCAAAATAAAATTAAAAAGTTTTTCTTCGAGAACAATAGGAATTTTTTAATTTCCACTATACCACCCATATCTTTTATTACATAGTTTAATACCCGGTAGATGATTTAGCTTACTATTTAACTCGGTTGTTTGATAGGATGAGTAATATTTATGTTGTAATGGAAAAAAATGCTTCATTATCATAACAATAAAATAATCATTGTTTAAAATAACGTCACGTTTTATACACTTAACAATTAATTTTGAAGATAGGAAAAAATCTTAAATTTTAAAGTTGATATTTATGCTAAAATACATGTGCATTCATAAATAAAAAATTCGTGATGCGTCCCAAAAATTTTTGGTTGTTTAAATAATTATTATTAAGAAATTAAGTTTCCGTCGTCGACATTCTTTGTATGAATCAATCTAAAAAGTAATGTTAGCAGCATATTTACTAACTTGTAATATAGAAAATATGTTTGAGAACTGTAGGTTACGTCTGTTTTTGGTACCCTTGACCAGGGCTGTACCGAGCTTCGTGAGTTCGGGGGCGGGGATGAGTTTTGTCGAAAGTGCTGACTCAACTAGAAAATTTTATGCCGAATGCAAAAATTGATTGTACTTTAATAAAAAAAAAAGGCCAATCTGCAGTAAAATTCCGGAACGAAAATGGGTTTGACACCCCCCATACCCCTGGCTCAGTTCACCCCTGCTTCTCCTACTCTTACGTAAATTTAAACCATGAGTTCGGAAATACAAATTCGATTGAAGGCTACCGAAATACGTATATATATATGAATGATTTCGAGCATTTAGCTCTCATCAGGACGATCTAGATAATTTCGGTTAATCACCTATTTATTCTAGCACTGATGTGCCTGTAATTATAGGATAATTAACGTAATTCAGTTATATAAATATGCAAATAAAAGGTGTGATTATTTCAAGCGATCAATTAATCTGAATATTGTTTTAATTAGTAAACCTCGGAACCAGCTAGTAATAATAATACCGATGTCCAAGTCCATTGTTTTGACATTAACGTACAAATGATGTAATTTAAATTAGCCGAGGCATTATTTAAATATTAGTGTGGGCCTTTTTATTACGTTAAAACATTTTGATGCCCTTTCGATGCTGTCGACATATAATAAATAGTTTGATTGGGTTCCAATATAATGTGTTCCGATCGTATGTCGATTATTCTTAAATGTAACTGCGCAGTAATTGTTGCTCTTGTAAATTTTAAATTAAAACTAAATGGAAGTTTCCAACAGGAAATACATAAATACATGACACTTAGGTTTAAGCTATAAAATTACCCCGGTTTGGTTTTCCCGGGTCGCTGATAATTTTTGGCTTTCACGGCTAATTTGCTGCTAGTTATATTTTTGCCTGTTAATTTTGTCAAGCCAATTACAAAGGGATTATTATGAAAAAATAAATCTCTATTTTTAATTACGTCCAGGCTGTTTTGAAAGCGGCTAGGTTAAATGAATTGATTTTCATTTTCTGTTTAAAGCAGTAATTTTTTGATGAATTATAGTTTTTTAATTGAATTGAGGGTTTACGGTAAAAATGGGACTTGAACAATCTGATTATAGGCAAAAAAAAGTCCTCATCTATCCACCTCCTTTATATTGTTTTTTTTTTTTGCAGATGCTTGTTTACGGTGTCAGGCGGAAAGTAAAAAAGATTATTATGGGAAACAGGATTGCGTAGTAGTTTGGGGGGAGTGCAATCATTCCTTTCATTACTGCTGCGTTTCGTTGTGGGTGAAGCAAAATAATCGATGTCCTCTTTGTCAGCAAGAATGGTCGATTCAACGAATGGGGAAGTAACTCCAATGGTTTTTAATAATTATTATTTTACGGCGTACTTACAGTGATTTTATGAATTGTAGCACCACTTAATTTTTATAATTTTATAGCTATTTTTATTTGTTTTATTCGCACTTAAGTGTAGTTCTGTTTCAATAACGATATAAAAATAAAAATATTTCGTTCTGAATCATGAGTCTGATCCACACTTATAGACTATCTATAAATTCACTTCGTTTCTATTTTTGTTAGTTATTTATCTCATTTTGTGTATATATGAACACGTGCGCCCTTTTATAAAACACAGCCAATAATTGACAATATTAACCTGATGAAAATTAGTTTGCTAGTATTTGCAACTGTGGTTTAGGTTATCATTATGTCCTACACTTATTCTTACTTGACAAGTCAATTTAAACATTTCATTACAGCTAATTTCCATATGAAAAGTGTGAAATTTTCATTTGAATAGATGCTATTGCTTCATTAGGACAAAAATTTACAAGCGATAGTCCATCCTTAAAAAAACTAGCTAATAAGCTGTCCATCGTTGATTTATTTATTATGCATTATAAAAAGTGTGTAGGTACAATAAATACAACATATTATTTTGTGTTGCTGTTTAGTTACGAAATTTACGAAATTACTTATGCAGCACACAAAATATTTTTTATTTGGGACTCCCAATGAATTTCGGATAGGACTTCCTCTCATTTGAATATGTGCATTCGTAAATCTTACAATGTTTCGTAATTATTTTTGGTATCTGTTACAGTAATGAATTCACTTTAAATTAATTATAAAATCAGATAAATCACTATAAACAGTGGGCATGTACCTGTAGGTGTGTATCGCTATGAGAACTTAGGAATGCCATGTCACCAAATCCTTAATTAATAAATAAATTGATTAGTGATCAAATTATTGATGCGGATGTAAAATGATTCAGTTTAACATGATTTAACTGCCATTGATAATGTAATAAAAATACCCTTATTACAGGCCAGTAATATTCTCTGACAAAGTATATGTATAACACAAAACTAAACTAAGCTAAACTGCTTTATGAATTTCTATGCGATTTGCACCGTCATTTTTTCATGTTGACTATCTATAGAAAATGAATAAATAATTTCCCACAAAAGGGTCTATCAAGTGGAGTCCTCAAGAAAAATATCAACGTTTTTTATTGTTGGAAAAAGTCAGGCCGAGAAACCAGTAATATATTTGCTGACTTATTTGTTAGAGACTTGTAAGTAATAAAAAAACAATAATGACTATAATTAGACACGTATTTCAGAATAGTTTATCATAATAATGCCTCTTTCAGGATTAAAAAGATATATTTGTAGTTAAATCGATATTAACTTTTATCGTAACTAATGTAAACTAAATTTTATTATATAATACCTTGGAAGTTATCTTGCAATTAGTTGTAAGGCTGGAAAATCCTATTGCATTTGTTAAAATCGCATTTCAAAGTAAATAATAACTTAGCAACCATACTTTTAAAGAGTAAATATTAGAAGAAGGATCATCGAAACTTGGTAAACTGTTTGAAAAATTTTATATCTTTTCTTAAGTAATCAATTTTTATAAATCAAGGTTATGAAAAACGTAGAAACCAAAACACAAATATTGAAATATTCCTATTTTTTTAGAAGTAGTTAAATAAATTACAGTTGATAATAGGTACCTGAGAGAGGATGTGAATTATACAANCTAATAAATAAATAAATTCTTTGATGGAAACAGCGTTTTATTTGCAAATATATAAGTGCGCAAGTTTCTATTGCAGTAGCTGATTTCCCAGGTTTTAATCCTTACAACTAATTATTTTAAAAATGTCTATAAAAGGTAATGATTTTTTTTTTACTTGCTTTAAATAATTAAATTTTTACAGTAACTTTTGCAGTTATTAGTCCTTCGAAGATAAACGAGAAATGGTTGGTTGTTTGTTCATATCGTCTGTTCATTTTTATGATCATTTAAAAATTGAAAAAATGGTAAAATTTAAAAATTCAATTTTATTGAGTTTCAGGTACATATATGTATTATATATTTTGTGTTTCAGAATATGATTGCGTATAAGATTTATTGGTAACGGATATAAATTATCAAAAGTTGTCCCTTCATCCATCGTAATAGGAGGACTTACTGATTCTCTGCTATGGTGTGTTCTTCCTGGATTTCATTTTTTGATCACTTCTTACATTCTGCTATTAATAATGGTAAGAGTAAAACATGCATATTATATTTACTAATATATTTGGTATATACTCAATATTATCAATTAGAATTACAGCCTGAATAAGTGATAACTTCTTTATGTTGTCATATATTTGCAAATGATTTCAAAATTTTTTCTGTTTCTACTATCATTTTAGAAAATCACATGTTATAGGAATGTGATTTCAAATGTGATTTTTGAAAACATTTTTTATGCAAACGAATTGACACTAGTGCGTGTGTGGTTGCATATGCAGTGTTCCTTCTTTAGCAATTAGTACTCTTACTTTTATTTTGATAAGTCTAATATTACTTTATTTGTTAGTTTTTTGTGTTTCTTTTAATCACAAATAAATTTCGTAATGAGTTTCGGTATACATCGTAAATTGCAACCTTCATGTATGGTTATTTTGTTTTACAGTTAAATAAATTAGAAGCATTGAGTTATTTTTGACCTACTATTCATTTCGTTTGAACATATTTAAAAAAAGGTGTTTATAAAATGTATTACTGTCATTATATTTCTTCTTTTCAAAACTTAGCAGTACTCCAAGGAACTGTAAAAGTTATATACAATATATTTAAAATTAAAAGGGAAAAGTGTTCGGTATTACTTTAATATTGTATTATACATGTTTTTTAGCATCCCTACGCTTAATAATATCTGAATACTCTCTCATAATATTCCAATTTACAGGAGCATAAAAACCGGGATGACGTTTTATAAAACATTGGTTTCTCTTTCACTCTGCAATGTAGCAGTACTTACATTCTGTAGGAAAGAGTGATGGTGCTTTTTTTTGCATTGGGAACGAAGATTGTCTTATTGTTAAAGGAAGGATTTATGGCATGACTTGGTAAGTAACGTTTTAGAAATGTCAAAAGCAGAATAGCAGAATCAGTGGAACTGTCTTTCTGGCAGTGTAAAAGTTAGCTTAATATGAAGGATCATTTGTTTTTTTTTTTTTGAAAACATTATACTTATATTTCGACTTTAATTTGAGAATCAGAAGAAAAATAATAATGATTAAATATCGTAGCAGATAATTTTATTTGGTACAGAAGCAGTCAATGAAAATAATCATGACTTTACAACACTTACACTGATAATGTAAATGAAATTTTTTCACTGTTCTATATATTTCTCTAATGTGAGCATTTTTACCTTGTGTCCTGTACATTACAATTTCTTATACAATTTCTGATAGAGAAAGATGTTTATAGTTAAAAATGCGGACAAAAAACTTGGGAAAATTGTGGTGAGATTTTAAAATTATAATAAAGTAATAATAGTCAAGTAGATAGATGCTTCTTAATTAAAAATAGCAATTTATTGAGAAGAAAAGTAATATACCCCTTTTTTTAGTTAGCATGTAGTAACAACGATAAAAACAATGCAATCCAAAGATTGAGAAATTTTTAATAGTTATTTCTTTCCTAGGCATCTGAAGTAGACAACTTATTTCCGCATTTTCAAAAAGCATTGTATTTCTCAAAAAATCGTGTTTGTATGTTGCATTCCAATGAAAAGAAATCAAGTTTTAGTTATAAAACCCTTGTAAAAAATGGCACGCACCTTATGTATTCACAAGAATGGAAAAACTAAATTTTCCACCCTTATGGCAACAAAAAGTGACTGTCAATTTTTTTTATAACTGACACTTCTTCCATTCCTGTATAAGATGAATATTACGTTCTTATGTTTTTCTTTTTTGGGTACAGTATATCATATTTGTGATCTTTTGTTTTTTTTAAATACCTAAATGAAATTAATTGACGCTGCATTATGTATACGTATAGAAAGTACATAGTATGTCATCTTTTAGTACAAAATAACTACAAATTATAGAAATTACCTAATAATTTTACAAAAGATTCAAATTCTGAATAACTAAAATCAACAGGTTTTAACATTGTGTATCGTAGATTGTAAAAAATATAAGAATAAAAGTAATGTATTGTTATTCACAAACCGTTTAATGGATTATCCAAACTTAATATCATTTGTAATTATTTTTCTTACATTTTAAATCAGCGTTTATTTAATTCGTTCTCAATTCGACTGTATTGTTTTTTTATCCATATGCTCTGCTTTTTCTTTACCGTTTGTGCACTGATTTTAAATATTTTTTTTATTTAATAGGCTATATCTCAAGAAAGGACGAAAAACTATTTTCTATTTTTATTATTTATCTATTATTTTATTTCTAAAGTAGGTCTTTGTGTCATCTTTAAATAATAATTTATATTCCAGAATATCCGTAATTCAATTTAGAATCGTTATCTTTATCTCTAATGCTCTCTTTTTCATGTTTTCTCTGTCTCTTTCGCTCTTGCATTCAGTTTATATATAAACATATATATGTACATATATATATGTGTTTAGAGTTGTGATCAGGCGATGGAACTTGCACGAAGCAAAAACCCACAGAAGTTCAATTTTGTAAAACGGGGATGAAACTAGTCACGCAATTGGTTAAAATACGAAAAATTTTCCGCGAACCGTCGCAGAAATCTAATTTGATGCTTCTGATTGAATTTGCCTACGTCATCAGTGCTTCGTGCAGTAGCTACCGCAAATTCGCGACAAGCTTGAGACGCGTTTGGTACATTATAAGTTCATAAAGTTTCGAGGTGGAAGGACGTGTTTTCGCGTCTCTTAAATTCAACTTATCGAGCTAATTTTTTCGCAAAATTAGTTTTAATTTGTTATACGTCTGAAAGGTTGGTTTGATTGATCCATGTTATATTACTATTATTCGTATTTGCCCACAGCATAAATTAATTTGACAAAATTAAAGGTTATATCTTCAGACATCAGGTGGCTACGTCGCCATTTTTAATGTTTTGTTATTTTATTGGCTTTTAATTGGTTTTCTATTACGAGTGTTTAATTCTTTTTTTTATCCATTTTCCGCATATATTTTGACTTTCATTTGAGAGAAAGGGAGAAAAGTGAAAAGGATTAAATTTTTAAATTTTTTTCGTAACAGATCTATTAAGTGAATTAGTTAATAATTGTTTTTGTCCGTTTACACAGATTGGCCAACAATTGAGAGAGATTGGAACTGATATCCTTTGCATACTGTAAAGATAAGTGGTCTTCTATGGTGTTTTACCTGTTAACCTTTCATCTTGAAGGCTCTTGTAGTTAATTAAGGTGAGCATGCATACTATATTTTCTGTATGTAGTGCATTTTTTGATATTAACAAAGAAAAAGATTCAGCATTACTTTAACAATGTACTGTACACATTATTTACTTAATACTTGATTAATTATATCTGAACACTTTTTCATCAGATTTCATTTTACAGGAACATTACTAGAATTCGGATACCATTAAGTTATGAAATTTTGGAGCATTGGTTATATTAGTCCTTATTTGCCCTGGAAAAGTAGCTGTGCCCATGGTTCTAAAGAAAACACGAAAGTGCCTTTTTTTCATTGCGAATGAAGACAGTGTGCTGAAAAAAGAATTTATGACAATGAACTGGTATGTAACAGTATCAGTTAAAAATAGTAAATGATATCATTAGATAATTTCAATTTCTTAGACATTTGTAACTTGTTTCAATAGACAACTTTTAAACAAAGTTTCAGAAATGGCAGAAGCAGAATTAATGTGGAACAGATCTTTCCATTAGTGTGCATGTTACTGATTTATTTGGTTTAAAAATGATAATTTATTACTTTTTCTTGCCTGTTTGTATGTAGATTGTCCCACAAATGACGAGGGATTGCAGTTAATTTTGATACTACTGAAGCAACCGATGCTATTGATGTCTGCACCTTGCAACATTATGCAGTTAATTTTTGCCATAACAATGAGAGGCAGTTGGAAATTAATTAATTTGGAAGCGACTGGAACAACAAATTATCTGCACTTTCTACAATTAATTAAGGTGAGAATGCATGACTTCATTAATATCAATTAGTCCTTATTATTCTGTTATTGAATATTTGTTAAAATTTATCTATCGTCAACAGTATAAATTGAGGTTATTGTGCATCTATATCTCTGACAGATAGTTATTTCCCACAGAATAAATTGACATTTATCATTGATCTATCTATGGAGTTTATCTATCTATGGATTTTCTATTTAACATTTTTCTATTGTCTGCATCGTAAATTGACGTGATATTTGACACTTATCTATGTCGCGTTCTATGGTTGTGATGTAAAATGGCGTAATGTTTATCATTTTATTATTCAACTATTTTACTTGCTGTTTGATGCGTTTTCATTTGTGTTTCTTAATTATGAGTGTAATTAATATGTGTTTTTGTCCATTTCTGCAGGTTATACAATAAATGAGAGGATTAATGTGCAGTTTGGTTATACTGAAACAGCCCAAGTCTACAAGGGTGTGGTCTTTCCTGGATTATATTCTTGATTTGCTGTTTCGTCTTCGCCTTGTAACATCATGCAGTTAATTTTCAACCCATGAGCGAGAGCAACTGGATATTTATTTGAATTCCACCGAAATAAGAAATTCTCTGCTACAGTATCCTTTCTGGAGTTGGTTTACTTTTCGCACCTGTACACTTTGGAATGTTACGTGCTATAATTAATTAAGGTGAGAATACTTGATATAATTAATTTTAATTGCTCTTTATTAATCTGTTTGCCACCGTATCTGTTTCAGATCGACGTTGGAGAAGACAAAGATGACCCAGTAGTTGAAATAGTTCTTTATCTTGCATGCTCTATCTAGTAGAATTCATTAAGTTC